GCCTGATAGATCCCTGCCATTCCCTAAAGGAAGGTAACTTTGCAATAACTGACCTGCTTTTTTTCCTAGCATGACATCCTTGTTCCTGTTTCCTCCTGCCTTGGAGCTCCTTTCTCTCTGCTAGATTGGACGCTGCCTGATCCATGAATCATTGAATAAAGCCAATAAGATCTTAAAAATTTACTCAGTTAAGGGCTGCCTGGCTGGGTCAGTCAGGGAGTGTGTGACTCTTGATCTTGGGTTGTGGTTTCGAGCCCCACTTGGGTGTACAGATTACTAAAAATAAATAAACTTAAAAAAAAAAAGTTACTTTAAAACAATTTACTCAGTTAATTTTTCTTAACAGGTGGCAATACAGTACTATAAACTTGAAATCTGTTAGGGTAAATCTTAAGTGTTCTTACCACACACACAAAGGGATCCCTATGTGAGGTGATAGATTTGTTAACTAGCCTGATTGTAGGGAGAATTTCCCAATGTATATGTATACCAAATCAATTTTAAAAAAGATTTCTTTAGTCTCTGCTGGAATTCAAATGATATCAGTTTAGTCCTTACACACACACACACACACACACACACACACACACACACACTTCCTTTCCTTAGCAGCCAGCATCTGCATACATCTCTGTTCCCCAGTTTGTTTAAAATAGTCAAAGGGAGAAGGGAAGGGTGTGAGCATTGAGAGGGTTCATTCCCTCTGGAGTAAATGAGACAAGGGTTTCCGTGTCGTGGTCATGGATCTGGTGGGCATTAGTCTTTGACCAGAATGTATGAGGATATTAAGGTGTGTGCATGCTTATAAACTGAAGAATTAAAAGAGGGTAGGAGGAAAAAAAATATCCCCCCACAAGAACTGTAGCACAACCTTCTCAGATATCTGCAGTTTAAGGTCTTTATTACAAGTAAAACATGAAAGATGTTTCCGTCAGGAAGAGTGGATGAGTCTTAAATGATCTAGAACATTTCTAATATTCTGACTTACTAGAGTGATTCAAAAGTCTGGGAAGAGAGAAAGTAAATCTCTTGTATCATTTCTTGATGCCATTAGACCCCAGCACAACAAGGGAGCCAGATTATCCAGACCGAGCTCTCATTTTGCCAGCATGCATTTCCAAATTTCTAATGCTTCTCCCAACAGCTGACTTTTGGGAATAACCAAAAGCAGTTACTTTCAGAACGCTCCTCGTAATGAAGTGGAAAAAGGCCTGGATTAGGAGCCAGTTCAACTGGGTTTCTGTATCAGCTTTTCCACTAATTTCATGGTTTTCCACAAGTCCCTGAACTTTGGGCTCCTACATATAACATCAGCAACATCGCACAATTGCTGTGCTATTAAAATGACATGATTTAGATGAAAGTACTTTGAAATGCTTAAAATGCTGTATAAATCCATATAATGACTAAATTCCAGAGGATAGGATCTGAGAGAGCTAAACTGACCAGTATTATAAAAGAAAGCCAAAAAGTTTACTACAGAAAAGCCCAGACTCATTATAAGTTTATGTCTCCATTTCTCTTTGATACAATGTGCTTAACAGAATGGGTTATAAAGAGAAAAAGAGCCAGAAATAGAGGAGACAGAGCCCGGGGCAGCTCAAATGCATTACTTACTGCTATTCAAGGAGTAAGTTCAAGGCCAACCACCGGGCCATAAGGGCCGCCAGCTGGTGTCTATCTGTCCAAGTGCACAGGCAATTGCGGGTCACCCTCACAGGCGATGACCACATGCCTAGTGCTCGCCGATGCCCGGTATCTGCAGTTGGGGGCCCTGGAACTTCCTGTCTCCCTGCAGTCTGTGACCTTCACTACACCCTCATGGCAGTTCATCTTGCCATTCTTACACTGGATATTGGTGGTACTGCAGATACTACGAATGTTCCAGATGTCTTCGTGGATGAAGGTGTTGAAGCGCTTGCACTGACGCACCATCATCTTCCGTCTTTGCATCATCAAGTTGCAGTAGGTGTCATTGCCACCTGTCTCCTCAGGGTCCACATGCTGCCGCAGGAATCGTTGATACATGCGATCCTGGCCATAGGAGGGCTGTACCAGCCCCAGCCCCAGCAGGGTCAGCAGCCAGAGCAGAAGCAGGGAACGGGTCCTCTGGAGAGCCATCACTACCTTGGAGATGCCTAGACAGAAACCCAAGGGGCAGGAGAAAGGAAGGTGAGATGCAGGCATTGTGGGGAGAGGTGTTGGGAATGGCAAATAGACATTGCCTCAACTCTAGTCTCCTCTTTCCTCCTTATCTGTACCAGTTCCCCACTCTTCTCTGCTCACAACTTTTCCCGTCTGCTTTCCCAAGAGCAAAGAGTTTGCAAAACATGCTTTTCTCTGAAAACAAGAACCATTCTCTTTCATGGAGAGAACTTGCTGCAGCAAGTACAGCCACTCAGGACAGGCACTGACCGCGTGGCCGTCCAGGGCATCTGGCCTCCGTGGTCAGAGAAGGAACGGGAAGAAAAGGCAGATCTAGGTGAAACTGGAGTTGACCGTCTCTTGAGGTTATTCTCTGGTCATAAGATCTTTGGAGTTTTTGGTCCTCTGGAGACTCTGATTCCCGAAAATTTGGATAGACTCATGATTTTTCAGAGCAAGTTTGTGAACTGATTTTCATTCCTTACATCTGGAATTGAGGAAGGTGCAGAAAAGAGGCCAGAGTAATACTGGGGTTAGCCTTTCCTCTCCTGCGGCTATTCTTCCTGTGGTATTAAAATCAGGTCATTTTGGAAATCCTGTTCATCCTCTGTAAAGAACCCCTACAAAAGCAGAGTACCCAGCCACCGTGCTTTGAAGGTAGTGAATATTGGCTGAATAAATAAATGAAATGAGTGAGCTCGTGAACAAATGAAATGAAATGGATATAGTGAGTGAAGGTATTTTCCAGGCTTGTGGAATTGACCACTAAGCTAAGAAACATTTAAAAAATGAATTTAAACAGCACAATCTCCACAAAAAAGGATGTGGATTGTGTCTTTTTTTTTCCCCCCTGTGTCTATGTACAACCCCAAACACTAGGCCCTGGTGATAGAGTCTATTGTCATGCATCTATCCTTGATGCTCTGCCTGTCTTGTCCACAGCTATTGGTAATTATCCATATTCCCTGGTTACAAGATCTTTGTGTTGACCTCTCTTGATGGTGGGAATAAACATTTGTTTTACAGAGTTAAAAAACAAACAAACAGAAACCTCTGGAGCAACAACAAAAAAAGCACTGTGATAAAGATTTTAGAACACTGCTTTGGTTGACTAAAGAAAGGAAACCAGGTCTATCTGGCTCTAAAATCTGTACTCTTTCCACCATCCTCTGACTGCTTCTCCCATCCCACTTCCTAAATATTCAAGATACCAACGATGTTTATGCTCAGAGTTGCTTGTCTCTAGCAACAGAATTCAATCAGGGGTGGAATAGGGCGGGAGCAAAGGTGGGGGTCACTCACCAACACTAACTAGCTAGACGCTGCCTTCTGGCTGTCAGTCTGGGACTGACATGGAGTCAAACCTTGAACTACTTGACTCTTGCTGTGGGGCAGGGCTGCCTCACTAGGGCAAAGAAAAATCAGCTCCATTCAACAGGGAGTGAGCAACCCAAAGTAGCCAGGGCAACTTTTTGAGTCAGACAGGCCCATTTCTACACGTGCAGTCCACGTCCAGCCTCAGCTGAATTCCTGGGATGATACCTCTGGGTACTACTGTCCTTCATTTTCAGAGAAGCTGCTTCATGGTGCCGGATCACGTGCGTAAGGGACTGAAATGGCTGATGAGGGACCTGCAGTCTGTTCCACCTAAGCCTACACTTTGGTTAGTGGTAATGACCATAATGAAACAGAACCATCTCTCTTTTCCATGCCACCTCCTAGGTTCACAGCTGGCTTCTGCCTCTACACAGAAAGTTGTAAAGTTCTAGGTCATTGCTTGTGCCTGTAGCTGATATGAGAAATGGAGTCAGGAAGAGAGGGAAGGAAGGAGCTGCAAGAGGAAGGGGGCAGGGAGAAATGATGTTCAATTTACCCCTCAGCCCAGCACCAATGGATATAACTTCCGAAGGCGCACTTAGCCCTCGGGTAATGGTTTCATCACAGTGGTGTACTTTAGGTTGTTTTCCCCAAATCTAATCTTGTACCTCTCATCTTGCACAGTTCTGTCTACTTTTTCTCATCCTGCTTCTTTGTGACTGAGATCATGTCTTAGCAAAATAACTGGCTACAGAGAAGACGTAAACTATTCATGCAAGAGCAAACCCATGGCCTCAGCCACACCAACTGACTGATTTAACAAGACAGGGGAAAATATTTGCCACCCGAAATCCCATGTAAACATCAATGGGTACATCTCAAGGCTCTAGGTACAACAGAAAATCAAATGATCCCCAAATCATCCCAACACATACTTTTTGGTCAGAGCTTGTCCCAAAGGCTTTTTCTGCTGCACCAGATTGACTCTCAATAAGAACTAATTTGGATATTGTGATCCCAAAGACCTAGCTTTGCCACATTAACTGTGTGACCTTGGGGAAATTACTTAAGCCCTCGGCATATTTTCTCATAAGTAAAATGAGCATAATCACAATCCCTACCTCTTAGAGATGTTATGAAGAATAAATGATAAAATCAATGTAAAGTGCTTATCACAATGCCTAGCCCCTGCTAAGTGTTTAGTAAGTGTTGGCAATGATCTTTTCACAATTTCCATTCTTCTTGGGTTCCTTTGCTTCCTTCAATCTGATAAAAATAGTGAATGACTACAGCAAATTGCATATATTTTGGACCCCCTCCCCTTTATTTTGTAGAGTACTTATATTCCCAAGAAACTATAAGCCTTTTTAAAAAAGATTTTATTTACTTATTTGACAGAGAGCGAGAGAGCGAGCACAAGCAGGGGGAGCGGGAGAGGGAGAAGCAGGCTCCCCGCCAAGCAGAGAGCCCAATGCGGGGCTCGATCCTTCCCAGGACCCTGGGATGATGACCTGAGCCAAAGGCAAACGTTTAACCAACTGAGCCACCCAAGTGCCCCATATAAGGCTTTTTTTTAAAAAGCCTACTAGAATTTCCGCTGTGTCTCTAGAGAAATTTGTTCTCTCCAAGTTGCATGGAATTTTCTTCCTTGAATGCCACCATTCCTCGAAGGATTTGACATTTTTGAGGTTTTTCTTCTCTTTTCCTTGCAAAGTCAATAAAGTACAGCCGACCAGCACTTCAGTTCCTCAAATGATTCACTCGAGATAAAATGACCTGCCTGTGACTTGATATTTCATTCTAAATAGCTTTTGACGGTGAGAGAACAAGAGACGCAGAGCAAAAAGTACTAGGACTGGCTCCATAGCTGTTAGCTCCATCAGCAGGACAGGAAGCACCCCCATCCCACTGCCATGCGATTTCCCAGGAAACGGTCATTTGCCTTAACACTAGAGCAGAGTATGCAATGATTAATGCTCTAAGCAGATGTTTGGAGAAGACATCAGTTTTCATAAATATGTTGTGATCAATGTAATAACGGTCCAGACCTTTGACCTTCTCTATCAAGAGCTTGAGTGGGGCAATGATCTGTATGGAAGTCACTTCACTTCATATCAGGGAGATCGTACTGGTTGGAGAACCTGAGAAAGGGTCCCAATATTCTACCAAAAACTGGAATTTTCTTATTCCTTAAGGGGTTTTTGAGATTTTATAACAAGCAAATTTTCTAATAAGAGAGGTTTGGAAAACTCTTCTCCCTAACTACAGACAGTGTTTTCAATTTTGAAATAGAAACTCAAAGTGGACAGATTCATGGGCTGAGTGTACACTAGTAACCTACTCCTCCATCACTTCTTCCCAAAATCTGAATATTTTCAGCAAGGCCGGGCTCTCCTGGGTGGCACCTAGATACTGGTCTATAACCTGAGTATTGAGCAACTAGGGTTTTGGGCCCATTTCAGGGCAATGTGGGCAGCAGGGGAGGCCACCGTTGGGAATACTGTGACCACAATAGTTACATATTCACAAGATAGCAAAACTGTGACTTGTAACTGTAATTTATTAACTACTTTCCAAATAAAATATTGAGGCACCAGTTGATAGAAATTAAGTTAATAGGAAGTTAATCACTTAACCGGTGGATCTATTAGTATATTTTACAAAGAGAGTGTCGTCAACCTAAGTGTATGTTTACTTGAAAACCAAATCTAGTTGAAGAAGTATACGGGATAATGTTTGGAATCTTTCTATGACTTCCCTAAGATCTCAAAGTAGCCAGACCTTGGTCAATAAAGTAAGAGATTAAGGAGAAAATAATGTAATAATGAATAAATAAGTAAATAATAAAATAATCACTTTTTGATCCTTATATAAAATAGTCATGAGAATACCCTAGGAACATTCCATTCAAAGCAACATCAAAAAATTACCTCCTGCTTAAGACGAGAGGTGGCTGCCCCTTGGCATTCACACACATGTGTGTGAAAGAGAGAAAGTGGAATGAATCTGTTGGTATTTAGTCCTAAACTGTTCTCCTCAAGGTTTAATATTTGTAAAAGTAATATTGGCTTATTATTTGCCCCTTCTGAAAATTCTGTTTAGTTGCCAGGAGCCCTGGAATTTTCCTAGTTCTCTCTGTAAGATGAATCTAATCACCTTACCTTTACAGAAAGCTAAAGTCCACCTCCTTACTGACTGATAAGGAACTGACCGATAAGGAAAAGGGCATTCCTATTCTATCCAATCCTCTCAGGGAGCAGTTGAATCGAGAAAATGGGGTAAGATTAATAGGCCAATAATTAGTGGGAAGACTTTGATTCTTACTGATTTCAGAGACACTTTTATTTATTAGATGTGTTGTAAAATGGAAAACAAGAGATCCAGGCAGCTCATTCTCTGGGCCCCTGGCCATAAATGTTGCCGTTCTGGGATGTGGAGGGAAATGCAAGAAAAGGAGAGCAAAGCCAGCTGTGGCCTCTGGTTATGGACGGAAAAAGGACTCATCAAAGTGGACAGGCAAGCCGTGTTCACAGGCAACAACAACGTGTCTGAACCCTGGGGTAGCTCTGTACCGGCAAGGAGGCCGAGGGGACCCTCCTACATGCCTGCAGGTGGTGACCTGGAAAGGAGACTTGCTTAGTCTTAAAGCTTAAGGATTTCCATTCTTATTTCCACAGATAGCCTTGATGCTGCCCTTGTTGCCATGAATAAAGGTGTTGATGTCTTTGCAGGGTGTGGTCAGGCCTCGTCTCTCCATCATGCTTTCACAGTATCTGGCATTCCGGCCCCTTGGTTTGGCATCATAGTGCTGGGTCAGGAAGCGTTTGTACCTGGAGTCATCCTGAGTCAGGGCTGGTGGGGTCAGACCCGGACCCAGCATGAAGACCAACAACAGGGCCCCAGGCCCATCACCAGGGACTTTCCTCTCTGACACGAATCAGGTATCTTCAGTCAGCTAATTACATCTTTTCTTTTCCCTTCCTCATTAATCCTAAACTTTTCGTCAATCCCTTTCTTTGGAAAGTCTATTTAAAAGTTTCCTGAGGGGCGCCTGTGTGGCTCAGTCGGTTAAGCGTCTGCCTTCGGCTCAGGTCATGATCCCAGGGTCCTGCGTTGGGCTCCCTGCTCAGCGAGGAACCTGCTTCTCCCTCTCCCTCTGCCTGCTGCTCCCCCTGCTTATGCTCTATCTCCCTCTTTCTCTCTCTCTGACAAATAAATAAATCTTGGGGAAAAAAAAAATGTTTCCTGAACACAACTTCCTACCCCAACCATTCTTTCCTATCCCTCAGAATTGCTGAGTATTTATCTACCCTGCGGTCAGTCATAGCATTACAAAATCCACCCACACTCTGTAATTCATTTATCAATTACTATAATAACAAACTTTACACACGCCCCTGCAGGTATCAGACCACTGTGCTAGGTCCTGGATCGCAAAGACCATCGAGACACACCAAATGCCTCCCTCAAAGAGGTTGTAGCATCCATGGGGAAGGGTTGGGAGCTCCAATTTCCTGAGATGAGACAGTAAGATAGGAGGTGAGAGCTATGAAGAAGGGGGACTTTTAGGGAACCCTGAGCCCAGGGAAGGGTCAATCAGAGGACTGTTGAAGACAGGATTCTAGGTACTCAAGTCAGTCAGTCGGCTGGCTGTGAGAAGAGCATCTGAGAGCAGTTTGATCTTCAGGTGAAGGGAGACAGACCTAGTTCCCCAAGAAGTGTTTCATGGCCAAAGGTGGAATTATGATGTACCATTTAGAAAGACCAGGAAGGAACATGGAAGAACCCATGTAATCCTTTGGGTCCGTCTGGGGTCAACTCTTACAGAGGACTGGAAAAAGAATAAAAGCTTTTCCCTAGGTGCTTCTTGCATTGGAAACACTTTGGATTATTCTCAAAGAATATTGTCGAATTTTCCCTGCACGTGTACATAGACTGTTACACCATAGGCAAATGATGTTACCATGTGCTAAAAACAAAAACAAACCCCAAAACAACTCCTTAGGCTTTCTTTTTTTTTTAAGTAAACTATGACACACATGGGGCTCAAACTTACAACCCTGAGATCAAGAGTCACATGCTATAGCCACTGAGCCAGCCTGGCCCCCCTCCTTAGATCTTTTCATCAAGTCAAAGACCTTACAATTTGCTGCAATAATTTCTCAAATTTTTCTCAAAAGAAGAAGAGGATTGCTGCCTTTATCTCTCAAAAAAGAGCTGTCAATCTCAAACTCTAGAACTCACACATCCCAGGGGTGGTGTGTCAGATACGCAAACGCACACCCACGGGGTAGACATGGTACTTTTTCCCAGAACATGATTTTAACTCAGTGATAGATAATTAAAAATAGAATTAAACAAATATAGATTATAACAAAACACAGAACAATTTTTAATGAACTTTTAAGATTGTATTTCTTATGAAATTTGAAGATTTGAGAATTGAGAGATACTTGGTGTTTGCAGCAGGTTAGTTTCTGATTATACCTTTAGTTCTTTGGAGAAAATTGTAAAGAATATTCAGAGCCTTTAAAAACCACCATAGTCCATGCTCGCTTTGGCAGCACATATACTAAAATTGGAATGATGAAATTCACCATAGTCCTACACATTATATCAAATATATGTGAATACCCCCACATCCAACAATAAAAATGATTTTCACTGTAAATTTGAAACTGATGTTATGGGACGCCTGGGTGGCTCAGTGAGTTAAGTGTCAGACCCTTGATTTTGGCTTAGGTCATGATCTCAGGGTTGTGAGACTGAGCCCCCATGTTGCCTCGGCTCCACCCTAAGTGTGGAGTCTGCTTAAGATTCTCTCTCTCCTTCTGTCCCCACCCACCTCTCGCCCTCTCAAAAATAAAATTTAAAAAAAGGATTTTTATAATTCTGTTTCTCAAATTGTTTGCGAGTACTTCATTTAATTTATGACTGGGTTGGGTGTTTTTTGGCAATCATCCCCACACATACTGAGAAATTCTTGCAATGGGAGAAAAATTTGACCTTCAAATTATCCTTAAATGTAATATAATTCCTATGAATACTAAATTGAAAAATAAATGGTACATTTTCATAGACATTAAATTATTAATTTTTATTTTGTGCTTTCTTGTGTGTAAGTCATAAACATGATTTTCATATCAAATAATTTTGTAGCCTTCACAGAGGCCATAGGTCCTAGTGTGTTGAATTAAACAAATATAGATTATAACAAAACACTAAGCCTGTAGTGTTGCTAAACAGCCCTGGGAGTATGACTGTGAATCCAGAAAAACAAGGGAATCTGGGGTTTTGCTGGTTACATGGAAAGACATGTGACAAGAGTAAGCAAAGTGAGCTCTCTTTCTCATCAACATTTGGCATTGATCCACCTTATCTGTTTCATAATAACTATAAACAGATTTGGTGCCCTGCTAAGAAATCTTTTGACTATTCCACAATACTGATATAAATAGCAGCTGAGGGGCACCTGGGTGGCTCAGTCGTTAAGCGTCTGCCTTCAGCTCATGTCATGATCCTGGGGTCCTGGGATCGAGCCCCGCATCGGGCTCCCTGCTCGGTGGGAAGCGTGCTTCTCCCTCTCCCACTCCCCCTGCTTGTGTTCCCTCTCTCTGGAAATAAATAAATAAAAATTTAAAAAAAGTTTATATTGTGCTTTTCAGTCTCCTGGGTGTGCTTTCTTTTTTTAGTTTTTTGGAAGACCTCATCAAAGTTTTACTGATTTGAAATCAACTAAGTTTCTTGCTCAGCAATGGACAAAAATTGCCTTCTAAAGTCAAAGGTAATTGTAGAATCACAGGATCTCAAGGTAGAAAGGACCTTAGAGGTCACACAGTCACAGCTCTCTGGCAGAGTCAGAGTCCCAGAGTTAAAAAAAAAAAAAAATCAGGAAGTAAAACCAGAGCTGGTAGTACCCAAAAGAGTCACTAAGTGGCAGTGGTGTATAGGAATGTTCCCAACCATTCCAGGGTACAGAAGAGACGGTGGGTCCTTGTAGGAAGTGCCAGTATTATACAGATTGTGGGGATACTGCTGCTCACAGAAGGCAGTGTGAGCCCGCAGGTCTGCCTAGAGTCTCTGTCCAAACACTCTATGCTTTAGATATTAAGATCAAGGACACTTTACTAAATATAAGTGTCAAAGCAAACAAAAGTCACAAAGCTGATCTGTCCACAAGGATATCATCAAATAAAGATTTACCTGTTGCCAGGTTTCATGGGTGCCATTTCCAAGCCATTATCTATGTGGTCTTGGGCAAACAATGACCTGTTTACTTGTCAGTGTTTCCTACTGGTGTGTAATCAATAGGAGGGCAGAGCCCATCTTAGTCACCTTGAATCACAGTGCCTGCCTCAATAATTATGTTTTTAATGATTGACTTCATTTTCCTCTCCAGGCCTAAATTTGTTCATCTGTAAAAAGAGAGAGTCGCTAACTGTTAAGGCCTGAAATTCCACAGTTCTCATTAAGCATAAAAGAGCCTTTTCTTTTCCTTTCTTTTTCTTCCACTAGAATGGGATTGCAGAGACAAGTTTCTGTGTAAGTTTAGTTGGTGGCAAAAGGCACCAGCCGGAAGAAATAGCTAACAGGTTAACTGAGATGCATCATTCCTTAAGGCTCAGCAGGTAAGCCAAGCCCACAGACCACCTCTAGTTAAGGCATTGGACTGACACTACATAGGTGTTTCACATCCTTAAAAAAGCATTTGCTTGGGGCACCTGGGTGGCTCAGTCATTAAGAGTCTGCCTTTGGGGCGCCTGGGTGGCTCAGTTGGTTAAGCAACTGCCTTCGGCTCAGGTCATGATCCTGGAGTCCTGGGATCGAGTCCCGCATCGGGCCCCCTGCTCAGCAGGGAGTCTGCTTCTCCCTCTGACCCTCCTCCCTCTCATGCTCTCTGTCTCTCATTCTCTGTCTCAAATAAATAAATAAATCTTTAAAAAAAAAAAAAAAGAGTCTGCCTTTGGCTCAGGTCATGATCCCAGGGTCCTGGGATCGAGCCCCACATGGAGCCCCACATCGGGCTCCCTGCTTGGCAGGGGGCCTGCTTCTCTTTCTCCCACTCCCCCTCCTTGTGTTCCCTCTCTCGCTGTGTCTCTCTCTGTCAAATAAATAAAATATTTAAAAAAAAAAAAAGCAGTTGCTTGTTGGAGGTTGAAGGCCCTCATGTCTCAGTCTTAGAGATTAAGGGATATCTTTGTTTCTCATTTGCAGAATTTGCACATTCATTCTCTAACAACTCAGCTAAGGTTTGCCCAGGTTTATTGTAATCCTAGTTCCCTAAGACAACCAGAAATCAAATCCTAGCAAGTATACACTAGGGTTACCGGTATCAACATCTGCTCTCCCACTCATAACTTCCTCACTTATATATATATATATTCCATACTAAATTTCCCCCAAATGGGGGTTGAAATGGAACTGGGAGAAAACAAGTAAGAGATTATATGGGGTGCAGAAGTGAATCTGCCTAGGCCAAGTGTGCAGAGCCTCCCATCTGGTGGTCAAACTCATTCACACATATCCTTCTATACCCAAGCACATAACTGTCATATTTTTGTCAGTGGAATTTGTCCCACAATTTGTTTTTTAAACTAATTTCACCTTCTGTCTCAAACCAAACCCTTGGTCTGCACAAAAATTAATATACTCTTTCTCTCCCCACAGGCAATGTTTTGTATTCAAGAGATCCATCAAATTTTATGCACCAGGGAGTTAACAGTTTATGATTATAACTACAGTTACAACTTCCATAAATACACCTTCATGCTTTTATATGTTCTAGGGCAATATTCTTCAAACTGGAAGCTTCCCACCCAATGTATATTCCTCTCTCTATCTCCTTCCTTCTTTCTTCTCTTCAACCCGCCAGTATACCTTTTTTTGATCTTGGCATGTGCTGTTCCATTGTGCTTTCAAAGAGCATCCAAAACTTTCTTAAGGTAAGAAATTCGCAGGAAAGATTACGAGAAAACAGAGCTAAAAGTATACTCTCTGTTTCTTTCCTTGTTAAGCCACATAAAATGTTGGGGCAGAGGCTCCAGATAACCCTTCAACAGATGTTTTTCCTAGATCTTTGGGGACTTTATCACAATTTAGGAATCCCTCCTAAATCACCACTTGCTCCCAGTCTTACTAATTTCCCTTTATCCATATTTAGGCTATGCCAGAAGAAATCTGTTTGCATTTTAAACTTTAGAATCTAATTTGTTTCCTTCTTAATTCATGAACTTGGGCCAAGAGTTTTTAAAAGGGAAAAAATGGTTTCATTGAAATGGATGGATGTCTAGAAATAGTATACATATAAACATATAGAGAAATAGATTACCCAGGTGGAAGAGTCTTACAAAAGTCTGGAAGTTTCCCTCCAACTGAAGATGGGTTCCAGCTGTTTGTTCCTGGAGATGGGTTCCAGCTGTGCGAACCTAGAGGCCCCTCTCGGTTCTGATTATATAGTGATCAGATGAACGGGGAGGGAAGACTAGGTCTAAAGATCCCTGATACTGGCAGACACATAAAAACCAAGGACACTGCTCTTGGACAAATGAGGAGAGTCATTCACCTTTTCCCTGGGCATGACTGGGTCAAACATTAACCCACATGAATTAGAGATTTGTTCTGGGAGGCCAACTTTGATAAACATGGCCTTTTGTCCCACAGTTGCCTTTTTCTGATGTTTGTGGTTCCGACTCTTGCCCATGACAGGACATGCGGTGATCTGGATCCAGAAGATGTTGTTTCTGATCTTATGGGCCATCTCTAAGAACCCTGTTGGAGGAAGCCTACAGAGTAAGATGTGGCCTCTCAGCAGGATGCTGTCCCACTGTCCTTTGTTTTTACCCACATAATTTGGTTTCATGAAAAGATGCTAAGTAGGCTCTTTCATCAATTCCACAGAACCAGGAAAGCATTCCTAGAGAAGATTATGTGACAGCTCTTGGTACCCTGCCCCTGACCTCAACCTTCCAGCCACTAAACCTCAGAAGTCTCCTTGCCGTATTTCCAGGGCTTCTCCTTCCTTTCATCCTTACCTGTTCACAAGAGATTAATCCTGAGCACTCAATCTTCTGTTCTCTGTAACGCAGTTGCAAAATTGATTATCTCCACCATCAATGCAACACCGATATTGCATCTACTCACAAAATGGATTTGTTGATTGAACAGAAACAAGCCAACTGGGTCAAAGTTTACTGGGATCACTTAATAAAGATCCTACAGTTTCAAATATCAGGCAGCAGCAGGATGCCAACTGTTTCACGGACCCTCAGTAACCACCTCCGCTGGTGCTGAATCTCCAACAGTGCTATTTTTAAAAAATCCTCAACCCTCGGTTGTCATCCATCTACCTTCAAGTTTTCAGTCTGCCTGTCTCTGAGGTGTCAATAAAGACAGGCGGCCTGCCAATAAAATAACTGCACTTGAAATCATCGTAATAATTATCATCATAATAATAGTCATTGCCTTTGGTTTTATGAATCTCTCACACACATTATATTTGACCGTCACCAGAACTGTGTGAGGTGGGTGCTACGTAAGTCAGTTTTTCTTATGAAGGAAACTCCCTGATCAAACAGCAGAGGGATGGTGCTGTCAGACTTCAAACTCCTTATCTTCAGGGAGAGGAACTACTCATCTTTCCAGACTTGGCTTGAGCAACACCTCCTCTGAGTCTGATGGGCTTTCCTCAATACCAGCCCATCCCAGGAGAAGTTGCCCACATCTTCCTTTGGGGCTTCTCTGTACCCAGTACACACCACGCTGAGGCAAGCATAGAGCAGCAATCCCAAGCTGACGGCTTAAAGCTGCATTGACTCTAGACTTCAGATGTGTCCTGTTGTGTGTGAAAAGCTGGTGAGTCAGCCTGAGTGAAGCCTAGCTGTGTAAGAGTCTGTGATGTCCCAGGAAAGGATTCATCCATAGAGAAGGACATGATGAGAGGAGGGAGAAAGATGCCAAGGCCATGGAGCAGTGGTGGCCAAGGACTACAGTGTACTCCATTCACATCCCCTCTGACCCAGCCTCCTGGAGCCTAGAGCGAGGAGGGCACTGCAGTAACAACTTTCATAAAAATCAAGGTTGTTTCATTAAATCTCTCTAAGATTCAGAAAGCACACAGCAAGTTAGTGTGAAGAAGTTCACCCCGTGGTTGACCGGAGGTGGTATGGGGGTAGGTCGGGAAGTAAAGTACCTTCCCCAACATGAGGATCCCGTTGGGACAGAGTTGAGGAAAGTCTGGACAAGAGCTAGAGCAAAAGGTCAGACCATTTGCTCTATCAAAAAGGAAGAGGACACTGCGTGCTGGCATCTTTCGACATTTTCAGCAGCATGGGCCCCTTTGTAGGGCAGGGATAGACCTCACCCAGGGAGGTGGAGCAAGAAAGAAGTAAATGGCAGCCTCACTGTCTAGGTTAAAGGGGCTAGTTTGCAAATACGTTTACACCCCCTGGGAACTTCAGGAATAATCGGAGAAGAATGTGAGCTGGTCTGGAGTTCTTACAACATGGGTGGGATGGATCTGGCTTTACTTTAGGTTGGCAAACAGTCCATTAGCCATCATCCTTTGATGATTAATTAGTCTTCTTGTCTCTCCATTAGATGGAACCCTTAGAGAGAAGAATAATTGTGTCATTCATCTCTGCATTCTTAGTATCTCAGAGTGACTGACTCCTAGGCCCCAGGTTCTTCTTGTTATCCCTCATTGCTTCTAGAAATGTACCACCTGATCTCACTTTGGAGATCCCAACCATACAAACTCTCCTGGCTTCTCTTAAGACTTACAGACACAATTGGGTTTGGTACCAGTTACCAAACAAGGTAGGCCTAATTCCCTGGTAGAGCAGGAAGGCTTTCAAGGTTCCCAGAAAACTCTGCTTCTGGTATTACTGGTAAATCCTGACCTTCATTTCTTAGGTATTGGTTCCTATTCTAATGCAAAAATCCCTAGGAGGATTAGCTCCTTAAACAGCTGTCTGTGATTCACACATGCTTGTGCTTATACTTTAGAGGCTATCTTAAGAAGAGTTTTTGGTAGGGGGCGCCTGGGTGGCTCAGTCGGTTAAGCATCTGCCTTAGCTCAGGCCATGATCCAGGGGTCCTGGGATCAAGCCCTACATCAGGCTCCCTGCTTGGTAGGGAGTCTGCTTCTGCCCCTCCCTACTGACATACCCTTCCTGCCCCCGCCAAATAAGTAAATAAAATCTTAAAAAAAGAAGAATAGTTTTTGGTAACTGGAATGGCCTAAGGATTTGAGGAGGGAGAAAAGTGGGCAGCATGGCAAACCTGAAAAAGGCAAACTTCACAGGTTTTCAGCTGTGGTGAGGCAGAGTCCTGCTTAAGCGTCACTTTTTTCCCCTGTCCTCTTCCCTTTTTCCTGCATCTCCACCCAAATTCTGAGCTAAAAGGAAAAAAGTCTAAGGAAGTGAGAAAAGGACCAAGCACACAGCCACAAACTGCCTCTTCCTCAGTACCTGGTGCCTCAGAGTCACTGAAGTCTCTGAAAGGAAGGGATAGGCATCTCTGCCCACACAACTGTTCTGCCAAATACCAAAGTTCAAAGTCCTTTAGGTACAGAGAGAATCAACAAGACATGGGGCTCGCTGAGTGGGGCCTCTACCGGTATCTAAGAGAGTGTCCTAATGCTGACTTTCCTTTTGTAGGCAAACCCACGATTTGAGTGGTACCTATTTTAAGTGAATCATATATTACTTATTACTTTTTAAATAGATGCTGAAGAAGTGAGTTCTAAAGAGCTATAAGCCAGTCATTGGGTGGGGAGGACACTGCCAGGCCCATACAACACCCCTAAGGCCTCAGCAATCCCAGACTACAGAAGAAGCTGCCAACTCCCAGTCTGTGGGGATCAAGATGACTTGATCAACAGGATCCTTCTCTGATAAATCACCTAAAGGCAGAGATAAGGTACTCCATTCCCACATCACACACACACACACACACACACACACACACACATAGTCCCATGGCTTGAAACACCAGTTCAAACACCAACTCACACAAACAGATCAGCCTCTGATGTTAGCTTTACGCTGTGGTGCTGGGGAGCAGTCTTTCACCTCTGAATACAGCCAGGTCCCTTCCTCACCTCTAGGATTTCACTTGACAGCTTGGGGAGAATTCACAACCTCCCCCACATAGTTGACCAGGCAAAAAGCCAGCTAGGTGAATGGCGAATGGTTGCTTTCATTCTAATTGTTTTTCTTTCTTTTTTTCTTTTCTTTTCTTTTCAGCTTGGCACAATGAGGTTTTGATGAAACATAAAATAAAGGTTTGGGGGAAAAAAAAGTTTGACTATTTCATTACAATGCATCTAAGTGCTTACTCATTTGTATTTCAAAATACTTACAACAAGGAATTATATATATCTCTTCTCAGTAATTTTAATAGGGGTGAAGCAATTGTCAATTGAAAAAAGCCCAATCATATATTCTTTTAAATGTTTTGACAGCTTCAGCTTGAAAGTCATTCCCCTTTTCCTGAAAATTTTCCTTTGTCTCTTCTTTACACCTTGCACAAAGACACAGGAAGCCCAGGGTTCTCCTTCTAAGGACTCAAGTGCTGGTGTCCTTTACCCTTTATACAGAGTATATATGTTTAATTCTGTCCTTAAGACAAATTATAAAATTAGGTGATGGAGAGAAGTGACTAATCTCTAAATTTGGTTTAACTCTAACATTTTTTTTAGGTTTATAAGCATGAAACTAATTTACTAACAGAAGTAATGGTTAAAAGAGGATGAAGATCCAATGAAAAGAAGGATCATGTCTTCAGGAAGAGGGGACACTATGACTGAGGGAGAATGGGCCGAAGTCTTGTTGACATGCCTGTGTATTTTCAAACAAAGACAAAAATTACACATTCACTTTTCAACAAACTCTGAGCTTTGTGCCCATTCTCTTTCCCAGATATCTCAAGGTGTTCTTCTGAGAATAACCTTTAACAAAGATTGCTCTTTGCTCAAGTACAGATTAAATGGAAACTCCTAATGAGGGGTTTCATTTGGCCTGCTTTGGTCCACTTTCTTAGCCATCTACTTTAATTTCTGAATCACATGGGCAAATGCTTCCAACAATAACTTGACAAATCTCTTACCTTTGCCTGCTTGTAACCTGACATCTGCTCTTTCAGCAATAGCCAGAGCCATTCCTCTTTTCCTGGAATGGTTTTCCCTGTCCTTTCTGCCAAACTTCATAGCTCTTGTCCACATTACTAGAGTACCTTCTTTTCTGTAAGTGCCATCTTACTAACACCCTGCCACCCCATGAAGTCATAGAATAAGAAAGAGGGAGACCTGGAGACTATCTATCAAGCCCTCATTGTACAGATGAGGAAACTGAGGTGTTTCTGCACTGGCCCAAGAACATCTGGTGTCCAGGGACTAGAAGCTTTCCAATGTACCACACGGCTTTCATATTCCACACTAGCAATTTCTAGAAAATTAAAACTAATTTTAAAGGTGCCATTGAAAGTTGCTGTTTAAGGAAACCTACTAAATATTTCCATGAATTTCAAAAATATTTTACCTGTGAAAAAGAGTTGCTTAAAATAAAGTGTGTGTAACAAAACTGTCCTTCTGCAGGAGCTAGTTAGTAAGTGTGTAGTTAAGTAGTTCCTCGAATACTTGAGGCTGCTTCTGGGAAGTTGGCCAGTGGGGTTCAGATAATTATGCCACTTGAGTTTCTAGTGATTACATTTATGACTTGATTATAAGGTTCTTAAGGACACAGAGGGAGGGTCTTGCCTCATTTGAGATTTCCCTAGACCCAGAATGATGCTGAAACTGTTTTTACTGTCCTTCCTAAATAAAGATGCTCTGTTTTGCCCATGTGTTACCACAAGACACGCTGTCTCAGAGTAAAGAGGTTGAGGATCCCAACATTCTAGTAAGAAAGCTTAGAAAGGAGGCTGTTGGCAGTGTCTCCCAGAATTTTGCAACCCTGGCTGCGAGTGGGTTAAGGGTGAGGAGACAGAAGTGAGTCACCAGAAAACAAAAATGCAAGTCCCAAAAGGCAGTTATGCTGGCAAAAACTGGACAAGGAAGGCCTGCTTCATAAATCTGGCGATCAACCTGTGTACCAAGTAAAGAATCCTTAGGTGTGAGCACATGCAGGCCTTCCCGGGCTTCCATTCCGTTCGCCAATTCTGCACCCTCCTCTGAGCCTACATTCTAGGCACTAGACTTTCACGCAGCCATCTCTGCTCAGCTGCGGGAAGTAAATCTCAGGGTGGGAATGCAGACTTCGCTAACTCATAGAAGAACAAGACTCACCTTTCTTCCCATTCCTCAGCGGCTCCAACCCGGTTCTGCAAACGCCTCCCCGAGGAGCCCCACACTGCCTCTGCTAAGAAGGGGCCCAAACGCTCTTGGTAAAACTACTGACAAGGAGGAGGAGGAGAGAGAGCAGGACGTGAACCCACCTCGGCCAGGGAACAGGGCTGCAGAAACGCGCAGGACGGTGGAAAGTTTTTCTCACCGGCTTCTAATCCCCCTTGTATGATGATAGGGAGCTGTGGAAGACGCAAAGACGTCCTTTTAAATCTTGCTTTGGATCCTGGGTGGGGTCGCCGTGCGTGTGTGTACACGAACGGACGGGGGATGAAGCCGGGCGAGGAGGGCGGTGCCGGAGCCTCTGTGCAGTTGGGACCGCTCCCTGTTTCTCCCGGGAGGCGCCTCCCGCCTGGACCTGCCTCTCTGGAGTGGGCGCCGCGGGCGGGCCCTGTCTGGGAAAGGAGAGGGCCTGCAGATCCGAGCCCCCACGCGCAGCGGCCGCGAGGACACAGCCTCCGGGGACAGCGGGCCTTGGGACACCGGCCCCTGCTCCCGGGAGCGAGGCGGTCCCTCCGAGGTGTCCGCTGGCGGAGAGTCCAGGCAGTTTCTCCCCGCAGAGCTCATCAGCCCCTCTGGCACGCGTTGGTTCAGCGCACCTCTCTTGTGCAGAACAGTCGGAAAGCGAGAAAGTTTGTACAGAATTGAACTTTTGCATAGTTTAGAAGGAAGGAGGGAAAAAAAAAAATCAAAAACTAGGGCTCGTCCGGGATTTGAACCCGGGACCTCTCGCACCCAAAGCGAGAATCATACCCCTAGACCAACGAGCCACAGCCGTAAGAACGTGCCTGTGTTTCCTCTGAACAGTACTTTCCAGTGTGCAGTTGGCCGCCAGGCTGCCCGGGAGCTCTGTTCCACATTGTGACATTTACTTCTTGCCTTGCTTTGCTTTCTCCCATCTTCATGAGGTCTCACTCTTTTGAAACCTGACTCGGGTCCTAACCTCGCTTATTCTCCCCGATCCACATCCTGGACCCCTCCAGAGGCCGGATGGGGTGAGGAGGGGCAGTTTCCAGACAGCAGGCCGCGTGGGTGAGCTCCACCGAGCACCTCCGGACGGCTCTGTGCGCGAGCTCGAGCCTAGCGGGGGCCTAGCGGGGGCCTGGTAGGAAGGCGGCGGAAGTGCGAGGACCCGAGCGGAGCTCGCTTGCGAGGCTGGAGGGTTCTGAGCCCCAGGCTGGACGCGCGGGAAGCGTGTCAGGCTGCTACTACCTCGCGCGAGCCTAACATTCTAGGGGCGGGAAATGGTGGGCATCAAAATGCCGAGAGCCGGAATCGGTGGGAGGTGCGCCAGTCTGGCGTGTGTTCGGATTGTCCAGGCCCCCGAAGGAGAATCAAGTGTTCCATCTCCCCACCTTTGTTTCACTTGTTTCTTCGGTGTGGAATTCTTTCTCCCAGTCTTACCCCAACTCGCGTCAAATCCTGTTACCCTTTCCTGTTCTGTCTCAAAATCTTTTTTGTAGAACTATAAATAATTGCAAAAAGATAAATAAACTAAAACTGCCGTGTAATGGATGTGTGTACGGAGAGGGGCGGACACTCGGGACGAGAGTCCCAGTTTCGGCGATTTCTTCCGCAAACTGGAGCCCCCGGGCCGCATGGCGCAGACGTGCGCACACAGCGTTTATGCATCAGGTTCTGTATCAACGAGAGGTTTCGGGTTTCCGAACCGTGGACTTCAGGCAGCAATCGAGGATCAACTAGAAGCCAAAAGAAACATCTGAGGGAAGGTTAACTTAGAATTCTTCCAATTGGCTAACAGAGTTGGCCCTCCTCGCAATATAAGAAACTGCCCAACGGGATCCGTTTCTTCACATGTGCTTGGCGGGCTCAAACGTTTTCTTTGGCACAGGAATGAGGCTGGAGAAGTCGACTCTAGAAGACAAAGAGCCCCGGAGGAAACAAGAGGGCAACGGCTCCCTGGATGACTGCAAACCCCAAAACTGCAGCTCCTCCTTCGAGCCGGAATCGAACCAGCGACCTAAGGATGACTATACGGGAAGCGCACTACAGTCCTCCGCTCTACCAGCTGAGCTATCGAAGGGGGCACGGAAAGCACCTCTCTAGAGTCACCCATTCAGGACATCTACAAATAGAGGCGTGTGAGAAACGATCTTCTGCCGGCGGGTGGACATCGCAGAGTCACAAAGCCAGCTTGTGAGAAAGTCCCGCCCGCAGTTCTGGGGACAACCCTTCTAGAGCTGGATTCCCCTACTCCACCGAGGGGTGGGGGGCCAATCCGTGGGCTCCTCACAGGCACCCCGAGACCCCGTGCATCACGAGGCCGCCCGGGGCGAGGGCACTGCTCGTCCGGGGGGCCGTTGGCTTCGGGAGCGCGCGGCCCGGGACCTCCCAACGTGATACGTGTGGAGTGGGAGCCGCCACCCCTGCCTCGAAGAACTAGGGAGTGCGGCGGTGGGACACACAGTTCCGCTCGCGCAGCCCCGCGCCAGGCAGAGAGGGCGGGCCTCCCGGCTCTGGCTCGCGCCTCTTCGCTTTTCCTCACTTCCTGTGCTCGCCTGGGAATTCAGGCTCGTTTGCACAGGCGAACCGCAACTCTCTTCCGTTTGTACGTCCACGGACTCGGGGAGGGAGAGGATGTGGAATATAGCACATATGGGTAACCCAATGTTTCTGCGAGAAAGGACTTCTGGAGAAAATATCTTAAGGTTTTTCAAAGAGGAAGCCGCAATTCTTCTGAGTCAGTAACAAACTTAGTGACCCAAGTCTCGACTTTCGTTTTCCCGCTGGGATAGTGAAGTGTTCGAAAACCGGCTGAAACAGGAAACCTTGCTGGACAGCCTACTCTCTCCCGAGGGCCTCCTCCCCTTTGGGGAGTGGAGCTTGTTCTGGACTCCAAGCCTGTGCGGAGCGAGTCACTGGGCTCGACTCCATGGTCTTCCCCCACCGCCCTCGGCCCGGCTCGGGCTCCGGCGGCCCTGGGGAAGGGCTCTCGCGGCGGGTCGGCACAACCCGGGCGTCCGCGGAGGCAGGCGGCGTTTCCCGCAGTTTGTAATGGACTCCGCCACAATCCAGGCAGCAGAGCCGCACTTGCGCAGTAGCGCGTTAAGAGGAAGCGGATCCGCTCAGCGTGGTTTACTCGGGTAGTCGGGACTGCGGCGAGACGATACGTGAACCGAATTTCCGCGGGGGTTAAGGTTACTGGAAGGGGGGTTGTCCAGTAAGGATTTAAAACGATAAGAAATAGATGGAAGGCCCCAGCGAGATTTGAACTCGCGACCCCTGGTTTACAAGACCAGTGCTCTAACCCCTGAGCTATAGGGCCTCGCGGACGAGCGTCTTGCTTCTTTCTTTGAAAAGGAAAGTTTTTATGATGGGTCTTTGTTAGAGGAATTAAGTGTAAGAAGCAGACAAAATCCGAACTTCTTTTCAATCTATTTACTGTTGGAATTTGGTCTGCAGGCTCTTGCTAGGGACAACGCAATATGAGGGCCAGTGATAACAGCCACCACTATTTTAAGATTGCAGGACTCTGCCTAACCCAACACATTATAACACAGAGTCCACCTCACCCCTCCCTCCGCCCCCGGCCGCAGTCTAAAAATTAAGAGGAGAGACGCGGCGTAGAGGAAGTTGACTACCACAGGTCTCTCCGCTGAAACTGGGCCTTCCCACTGATTTTCTCCTTGACTCAGGATAGCCACCGACTTTCAACTTCCTTCAAGTTCCTTATGTGTAGGGACCTTTCTTACAGCTCGAGTCTCTGCGCCAGAGCAAGCATTTGTTAATTCGTTATTTAATTCATTCCTTCATGCAGCAAACACTGAACTCCCAATTCTGTGCTGGGCTGTGCACTAGGAACAAGGCATCAGATACGGTCTTTAACTTGAAGTCCCTGTCATAGTCTTGTGGACTAAGAGAACTTTAGTTTTTATGAAAGAGAACAGTGAAAAGTAGCTGTGCCTGCTGTGAGCGGCTGGTGGACAGTGCCAAGCTTCGCAGATTTGCGGTGTGAGCCTTCACAGAGGCAGTTCTTCAGGTGGGGGTGGGGTTTGAGCTGCACTTGAGAGGTTAAGACACAAGTTTGGGGGCCGAGTGATCTCTGGTAGAAGAAAATGTATGAGCAGAGTCTGAAAGAAAAACCGAGGCTTAAGGAGCGGAGGCAGAACACCGGCTGGGGCAGATATCTGCCCTCCTGGAAATAAGGGAAGGTAAGAAGTCAGGTTAATAGGGGACTGAGAGATTTCTGGAATGAAGTTACACCCTTAAAAAAATTGCAACTGGACATTGAACACTGCATCAGAACTCTATGTACTCTATGTTGGCTAATTGAATTTAAATTTTTAAAAAATTGAAAATGGAAACTCACCAGGCATGGATATGCAGAATGAATTGAAGGGAAGATAAACCAGAGTCAGAGGTACATCAGAGATTAGCCATGGTGCAGACGCTCAAATAAAGCTGCAAGAGGGTCAAGTTATGGACCTGGAAAGGAAGGAAGGAATGAGGGAACTAGAGGGAAGGCAGATTTGGCTGAAGTTAGATATGAATAAAGAGTAAGTAAGAGATAATAAAGATGAAAGAGTCAGGGAGGACTCTCAAATATTATGCCTTGAAAAAGCAAGATGATGTTTGCAGGAAAAAAAAGAAAGTCTAAAGGAGAGATGAGTACCTGGAAAGGGCAGAAGATGAAGTGCAAGGATTTAGGTAGGCTGGGTTTGAAGTGAGATTGGGGGAGTTTATGGGAATTGTACAATAGCTAGAATACTCTTGTGTCTAGAAGTCCATAAGATTGGTAAATCATGGTTAGATCAAATTACATAAATTATCCATTGAGTTAGAGCCTCTAAGAGTTAGGGGCTCTTGAAGGAAGAGAGTACAAAAGGAAAACTGCTGAGGCCTGAACATGAGTTGGATAACTCTGTTGCGGGCATTTGTCCTATGAGTGGATGTCCAATATTTTTTGAATATTGTCCTTACATTTGGTAATTTCACATATTATAAGTAAGTCTGTCCTAGAAAATTTGCTTTCCCAGCTAGCAGCTGGGAGTGGCCATGTGACCTAGGTTCCACCAGTTAGAGTCATCCAGGGAAGATTTCAATTTAGATGTATAAAACAGGAGTGAATGATACCATAGGGAAATCCCATATTTTTTCAGTGGTGAGATATGGGATTTCTTAGGTCCATAGATCATTATCTTTCTTCAGGTCTGGAAAATTCTTGGTCAGCTTTTCAAGTGTTGTTTTGCTTTATTTTTCTTTTCTCCATTTATGAAACTGGAGTTAAACCTTCATACCTTGCCCTTCATTTCTTTTACCTTCTCTTCCATATTTTCTTTTTGTCTCTCCATGCTGCATTCTGAATAACATATTCTTAATCCAGTAATGCTTGCTACAGGTATGTTTAATCAGCTGTTAAATCCACCCACTGAGTCAATGTAATTATAAACTGTAATTTTCAATTCTAGAAGTTCTGATTCTTTTTCAAAACGATGAAGCCAACATTTTTTTCCAGTTTTATTGAGATATAAT